AAAATATTATTAGAAGTCAACCAGTTGATAAGCAAGCAGCGATGGCCCAATGGTTTGAAAATTTAATGAATGGGATTGAAAGAAATTTACTCACAAAAAATAGAGATAGGTAAAAAAGCAACAACTATAATATCCTATTATATGTTCTAAGCATTTTATAAATATTATTATTGTTTTCTCGCAGGTTTACACAAAATTTATCAATGTTTAGAAGAGACATAAATGATGCCCTAAAAGGACCTAATATATCAAATTCAGTCAATGATATGATGACTTCGTAGTAATACTGCTCTCTCTGAAATAGATTCTTCTAGGTTCTTGCCTGCCAAATGCTTGAATGTGTGTGCGAGTGAAACTCTAAATTAATGATAAAATTAAAATTATGGCTTTAGATGAGTATAAAGATAATAAATATTACTATTTTACATATTACAGCTTGGCTTCCTATTCTTCGTAACTGTCTTTTTATCCGCTTAAATTATATTTATATTGATTTTCATTTTCATGTAGTAACAGTGAAAGGAAATAAAATTTACAATTATTTCTTCTTTATATGACCTTTAGAAAGACATTTGGACATTTTAATATATTTATCTAATATATTTGACGTAGTCAAATAAAAAAAGCTAAAATTTCTTTTTTTTATTACCTTTATACTCGAACTTCTTAATCTTCCATGAAACGGTCAAATTTAAACATTTTATGCGTATAATTATTATTCAAAATTGGTTATTATTATATGATGTTTTATGAGCATACAGCAAATATATATTATTTGAATTTTTCGAAACAAATCGTCTTCATATTTTTCACTCAAAATATCGTATATTTTTCATAATCTTCACAGGAAGTACATAAAAAGATAAAAATTCAATAATTTTTTACTTTATAAAAAAATATATATGTTTTTGTTATGTATTCATTTGTTTCTAAGTCATTTTAATAGAGATAGATAAGACTTTATATAGAGATTTTTAAAAATTTCGTATTACGTTGTTTTTTTGTGTTTAAAATATAAACATAATGTCGTATCTATCAATTTTTCTTTATATTTTTATTGTCTCAGGCTTGATGACCATCCCACAAATAAGTCTTTTAGAATCTTACAAACGATAATTTAAAATAAAACACTCGTTTGTAAAAGATTTATTGAAACATTTTTTCTTTCTTAATTTTATATAATAAATCTCGGCAGAAAAATGGAGTTTATGTGAAATATTTTAGTAGTTTTACATGTGATAGTATTCACAAGTATTCATATTTATTTTGTCAAAGTTTTCAATATTATATGTACATTTTAGAGAATAGGAAGCCAATAACATTATTTTTATTTACAATGACATATTTCTTATTTTAAATGAATTGTGGATTTTCATTCGTTTAAGAATGTTATGCACACAAACGTGCAGCTTAAAAAAAAAACCATTTGCAACATTACAGATTCTTGTAGGAGAGAGAGAGAGAGAGAGAGAGAGAGAGAGAGAGAGAGAGAGAGAGAGAGAGAGAAGAAAATCGCGATACACTCATTACTTAAAATTTATTCAAATAAAAGAGCTATTATGAAGCTATATTATCCAGTGAGTTATGAATAATGTGAACGATGTAAATGAGGATATCATTAAATTTATCATACAAAGATTCACTTAAGAATATATAGTTATTATATTGTGTTATTATTGACATTACTTCAAAAAGATAGATGAACGAAATAGATATTACGAGACGTTAAGTAATATTCGTTAATTTTACTATATAAAAACGATTATATATAAAGCAAATCGCGCAATTTTGAGCAATCGTCTGTCTAACAGCATTGTCTCAATTATCTCCTACATCACGAACTTCTATATTGATTAATATTTATTGAGTCATAACTATCAAAATGTTCAAATTTTTATCGACAGATAAATAAATATGAAAAATATTTAATATATTTTATAACAAAATTGGGATAATCGAGAAATCAAACAATTGCAAAATGGACAGGATAAGATATAGGATGTCGCTAAAATATCTTATATCGAAATGTTTTTAATCATCCTCTTTTATTGTAAATATCGTTGCAAAATTTATTGGCCATACAAGAGAAAGAGAGAGAAAAAAAGAGAGGAAACATTCCTTTATTTTTTTATACGTATATATTACACATCTTTTATAATATTTTGTAAATTATTTTATAGACTTCGTAAAAAACATCTATCATGCCCATCTGCGAACAGGCAATAAGATACTCTCTTTGAATTTAGTATATGTATACTTATGATATAATTTACCAATGCTTTTTTAATGGTAATTGTTTTGGAACAGAGGTACAGTAGAGGCTTTTTAAATGCCGCATCCTCAGGATCATATCCCACTTAAAATTTATTCGATGCTCTATAATTAGTAAAACAATCAAACGATATTAGAACGCCAAAATCCAATTCAGCTGTCTCTTTGTAATGACTGTGTGATAAAGTTACACATATAATATTTTCTATAATTGCAGATCGTTAAGCGAAACTGACACTGATACAGTTTCGATTAGGTAGTGAAACTACCCTCACTGCTCGTAGGTACCGCGTATTATTCTTAGCGAGTTGTTGTATTACACTGTGATAGTGACGTCGTAAGAGTACATTATTGTATTATCTGTCGCTCGATCTCGTTCTCTGCGAACGAAAAAAAAGAGAAAGAAAAAAGTATCGCATTGAATATAAGATGTACCTGTAAAGACACAATTTTTTTCCACGACGCGGTACAATATTGCGTTGCAATAGTCGGATTCCACAATCTCGAACTGGTAATAATTGTCTCAATAAAACATTTCGAGTCGCTTTTCTGAATTACAATGACTTATTTAACAATATACAATACGATATACCGAGAGAATACCCAGCGTTGCGTTACGTTGTGTTGCGACTGTAGAGCCCGCAAGAGCTTATTCTTACTCTTCAAGGCTATAGAGGCTGCGTGATCCTCTTTCGCTGATGAATGCGAGAATCTGACTCAACGTCCTCAGCACAATCTCAGTTTCCGCGTGCGTCCTGCCGCGTGAGGGACATTTAATAGATTTTTATACAAATGCAGATAAAAGAACCTTGACAAAAAAAAAACGAAGAAAGAAATTATATCGAGTGTGCAAATTTTTCCTACGTATAAAATACACAAAGCAGCATTTTATCAAGATTATACGCAAACCTACACGGGTCGATATTCAGCGCTGTACCTTTATCAGATAATATTGTAAATATACATTGATCATGATAAATTGGTCCCTTAATCCTAAGTTACCTTTTCTATTTTACTGATCCATCTACAGCGAGTATATTGATACATGATGCGCAAATTTGAAGTTTGTAAGCAAAATATAACTCGCAAATAGAAGATATGTATGACAGAGTGTGATATGTAGTAAATATCGCGCTTCGTTATTACTGCGAAGATTTTCTCTATTTTTTTCGGCCTTAATCTCAAGCAAGCTTGTATTTTAACAGTCTTATTCCAATTTCTTGCTGTCCTGCTCAATGTGAGAATAATTTTTCTTCTTTTTTATTTTCTCTGAAGTGATTCATTTTTTTATACGAAGGAACAGAATGTGTAAAGTGCGTTCTAGACTCGATGTATGGATTTAATTTATCGAACTATCTGAAATTTTATCAGTGTAATTAATATATAATAATAATATGTTAATGTTTTTGCTGACGTGTTGAAATATGAAATATTATATACATATAGAATTCTTATTATAATATATTACTTTTTTTTATTGTAAGGAAAAATCTCTTATGTTTATCTTATTGAATATTTGAAGGATCATCCTCTTTCCTTCCTTATATACGTATACTAGGTGTTCAATGAGGGATTCGAATTATAAAAATACATTATAAAGATTTCGGCTGCATTTTGTATATTTTATTACTTCGCGGAAGAATCGAACGAGTTAATGATACATGTGATAATTGTAACATGTTATAAACTATATATGGTCATTATGTGCAAAAACATAATGTCAAAACATATCTTTATAGGGTAAAGACGTTGTGATTCTGTGATCGCTAGAAGATCTGCGGTCAAGTTTTGGCCATTAGTTGATGCACCGCCAGTTGTACACGCAATTCCACGCAAGCGTCTTTCTCCTCGATAATACTACGTATCAACGTCGTCATCTTCTTCTGCAGAGAGAATCGTATAAATGTACAGAAGTAGAACAAAAAAGCTGTTATGAACGTACCTCAAGTAATTGATTTTCTTTGATTAGTTGTATCATGGCTGTCATTTCGGCTTCATTAGGAGAATGTGTCCTCTCTTTGGGCTTCTTCTTTTCTTCTTTTGTGCTGCGTTCCGTCAATATTTCCATCAATCGTTTGATCTCACTTCTTTCCTGATTGATGCGAGATTTCAATAATGCTTGCATGTTCAACAATTCCTCATAGATCAGCCTTTCTCGCAATTTGTCTATGACATCTTCTTCAGACTCTGTATATAAATTAATGATAATGTGTACTTAATTTAAGAATGTATTAGAAATTACATACTATTAATTATGTACCATTTGCTCTATCATTCGGCATTATATTCTCAGATTCTTGCGGTGTGATTGCAACCTCAACCGCGGAATCAACCGCGTCTTTCTCTTGTACATTTACATTTTGTTCATTTTGCGTGGCGTTCGCACTGTTACTTGAGCAAGAACACTTTTCTTTCGTCTCTTCTGCGCTATGCAATTTATTATCTTTTTTTATCAATATCGAATTGGTTAACGATTGAGCGTCACCAGATATTGCCTGTCCAGGATCTTCTTCTGCAGTTTTTGGCTTCTGCAAGATAGATTCCGTTGGAATATTATCGGACTTTATTTCTTCATCCAGACTCTTTTGCGTAGCACCTTCCAATTTTTGAACAATTTTACATTTTCTCTGCAAAGTACAATTATGTCAATGTTCTTTATACGAATTTTTAAAATGTTCTTATAGCTCTCTGTACCTTCAGTTGCGTTATCATGCGTTGTACCTCCCATAATTGTTCCTCACGAGATTTCGTTACAAAACCGGCATTCATTTGCATATGAATTTGGGAAAGTAACGATTCCTGTTTGGATAATTCCGCAGCTATACCCTCCACGGAATCTGGCAGATTCGTACTACCGGACGATAATGGTGGTATATATTTTATCAATTGTATATTTGGGAACAGAGCTTTGCAATGGAATAATAAAGCCAATAGCAATCTGTGACTCATTTGTAGAACCGGACTTAATGTCATTGAAATCGTTTGTGCGTTCATTTTTGTTGTTTTTTCCTGAAGTAAAATTTATTGAAAATCAATTGGAATATACGTTTTAAGAGAATAATGTATTAAATTGATTGGAAAATTTGTGTCGCTTCACAATTTTTATTTCCAATAAA